CTTCCTTTAAGAATATCCGACCTGTAAAACCTGAGCTAAGAACAAGAGAAACCGAGCTGTGTCGGTCGGGATATATCCTACCATATATATATATATATATATATATATATATATATATATATATATATATATATATATATATATAGTGTGTGTGTGTGTGTGTGTGTTTGTGAACATGTTCGCGATCATTATTAAACGAACACAAAGAGCTTGTTCACGAACATTATTAAACGAACATAAACGAGCTTGTTCACGAACATTAGTAAACAAACACAAACGAGCTTGTTCACGATCTCTTAGCAAACGAGCTTACAACTGTTTAAGCTCTGTTCTTTTATTAACCGAGCTCTAAATTTTGTTTGTTAATGTTCGTTTACCTTAACAAACGAACATAAACGAACGCTTACCGAACACGAACACGAGTAGTTTGCCGAAAGCTCTGTTCGCTAACACCCCTAACGGTGATGGCTCAGCAGACAAGGCCAAATGTCGATACGCACTCTGCCCACTTCGGGCGTAATCCAAACACTGTCCCTTGGTCTCTTCTTTCAAGAACTTTCTAATAAACCATTGAGTTAAGTCTATACGGAGAAAAAAAAAACCAATTAACTTTGTGATTAGCGGATCAATTTTTTTTTTGAAAATTTTCTGCGGTGCTTCATTAGAAAAATGCTGAAATAATGTCTGGTGGGTGAGTATCCCAGTACATAGTATCAGGTTGCTGATAAGCCGTAGTGGCTAAAGCATGAGCTAAATAATTGTCCGATCTAGAAATATAATTAAAAGAACATGAGTGAAAATAAACGGCAATTTGCCTGCAGCTATCAATGGCATAGCCAACGTAAGAGCGAAACGCAGTGGTTGATGATGTAAGGTAGCGTTGTAGTGTCAAACAATCCGTGTAGATCTCAATATTCTGTTCACCTCGATCCTTTAGCCATGATAAAACTTCCTTACACGCCAAAGCCTCAGCCATAAGTGGTGACGTACAGGCCGGTAGCGGTGCGGTTAGTGCCGAGATATAGGCTCCATCTCCATCTAATAAAACGGCCCCTACAGTTGCATTCCCTGTCTCGTGTAGATATCCCGCATCGACCCTGCATCTTCTCACTGGCGGCACAGAGGATCCGGCGGCGTCGGCAGCACCGCGGCCGGCGGTGGGACTCGCCTGGGCAGCGTGGCGGTTTTCTGTCGGCAGCGTAGCAGTGGCAGTGGCAGCCACGGCTGGGCGGAACTGAGTCCATGCGGTCTTAGCTGTCGCTGCGGCTCTGAGTAGGGACCCCGGGCGTGGTAAAAATGCCTCCCAAACTGCACCATTTCGAGCTTTCCAAATATTGTATAGAATTGATGCTGCATATAACATTCCATCAGAATCTAAAATATTTAGAAGTTCCCCAAACCAAACATGAAAAATATCCGTGACAATATTGGGGATTGTAAGGTTGGATTGATCCCAAATGTTTCTTGCAAAATCACACAAGACTAATGCATGCATTGTATTCTCATGTGATATCCCACACATAGCACAATATGGGTTCACCTCCACCCTCTTTAAAAGCAAGTTCGTAGTTGTAGGCAAAATATCACAAATAGCTCTCCAGAGGAACATTTTCCACTTTGGTGGAATTTTTAGTCTCCATAAAGCTAACCAATTAGTAAAGGGGTCTTGATTATTCTCATAATCTCCCACCAATCGTCTGTACCCGCTTTTCACAGAATATAATCCTCTCGGGTCCCCGTACCAATACCATGCATCATTATAATCCCGGGATACAGGTACTCTCATAATTCTCTCGACATCCGTAGGTTGAAATAAATCTGATAAAATTTCATTATCCCATGTACCAGTTTGTTGATCTATTAGCCCCACTACTCTGGCCTCTCGTAACTGTATAGGCATCTCTGTTTGTATCATAGGGTCCTGGTCATCCAGTAACCATGGATGGGTCCATATAGATGTAGTTTCCCCATTCCCAATTCTTCGTCTGACCCCACTACAAATTATGCTCTTTGATGCCATTATACTTCGCCAACAAAAACTGGGATTATTTCCTACCTGCGCATCAAAGAAAGTATCCCTGGGAAAATATCGGCTTTTGTAAACACGAGCTACTAAGGAATCAGGCTTAGTGAGCATTCGCCATGCCTGTTTCCCCAACATAGCTAGATTAAATGCACGTAGGTCCTTAAAACCCAATCCACCATACTTCTTAGGAACACATAGCTTGTCCCAAGCCTTCCAGTGAACTCGGTTGTCCGTCCCAGAACCCCACCAATATCTATTCATCGTTCTTTCTATAGCCGTGCATACTGATATAGGTAGCAAAAAAACACTCATTGAGAAGGTAGGCATAGATTGTGCCACACTTTTCAACAGTATTTCTTTCCCTGCCTGAGACAATAGCCTTTTATTCCACGACCCAATTCTTTGGCGTATTTTATCCTCAATATATGCAAAAGCTGCCTTTTTATTCCTACCCACAAACGAAGGTAGACCCAAATACTTGCCAAAGTTTGGTGCCTGCTCCACCCCCAAAACTTGAGCCACACTTTCCCTATCCACATTACTCGTATTCCTGCTATAACAAATACTCGACTTGTGGTAGTTAACCACCTGTCCCGATAGATCCTCATATACAGTCAGGCATTTCTTTATCTCATTAGCCTCTTCCACATTAGCCTTAAAGAATAAAAGGCTATCGTCCGCAAAAAACAAATGAGAAATCTGAGGGGCACCTCTTGCTACCCTACATCCATGAATTAATCCCGCTCTGTTAGCCTGTTGTAGTAACAACGAGAGTCCCTCTGCACAGATAATAAACAAATATGGGGATAGCGGGTCTCCCTGTCTCAAACCACGCGTGGGTATTATTGGGTCACTCCTTGAGCCATTTATCAGAATACTATAGGAGACTGTGGTCACACATTTCATAATCAAATCAACCCATCTATCATGGAAACCCAATGCCATCATCATATTACGGAGAAAAGGCCACTCCATTCGATCATACGCCTTAGCCATATCCAGCTTAAGTGCACCCCAGCCCCTCAATCCACACTGTTTTCGATTCAGAAAGTGCCCCACTTCTGCAGCTAATAGAATATTATCTGTTATCAATCTATCTGGGATAAAAGCACTCTGTGTCTCAGATATTATTCCTTCCATCAAAGGCTTCATTCTATTAGCCATCATTTTAGCTATTATTCTGTAAATGACATTGCCAAGTGCTATAGGGCGCAAATCAGTTACTAACTCTGGATTACTCTTTTTAGGGATCAACACAATATCTGTCTCATTCAAGCCAGACGGGAGGTCACCTGATTCAAGACAGTTTAGCACAAAACTCGCAACATCCCCTCCTACCACATCCCAGAAATGCTGATAAAAACCCGGATTCATTCCATCCGGTCCTGGTGCTTTATCCGGATACATTGCAAACAATGCATCCTTTACTTCCTCCAGATTAAATGGCCGTAATAGTGAGTCATTCTGCGCCTGTGATACCCTGGGTTCTATCCCCCCAAAAAAATCATCTCCAGTTCCCGGACCCCCAGAGCTGAAAATATTCTTAAAATAGTCCAGAATGATATCTCTCATGGGATCCCCCTCCAACCAATCCCCATTGTCATTCATTAATCTAAGTAAAGTATTCTTTTTCTTTCGGTGAGAGGCATACCTGTGAAAGAATTTGGTATTGGCGTCAGCTTCCTTGAGCCAGTGCTGCTTGGCCCTCTGCCTCCAGTATGCATCCTCCTGGGCCTCAGTGCGACTCAGAAGTTGCTCTATTCGCTGAAACTCGACAAGAGAGGCCGAGTCAGTGCATCCTCTCAAACGTTGTTGATCCCGTTTCAGCTGCACAATCTGTTTCCCATACTTATGGAACCGATCCCCACCCCATCGTGTTAACCGGTTTCCACAGTATTGAACACAACCCTGTAAACCCTGCCCTCTCCCTTCCTGCCACACCTGCTCCACCACACCCCTACATCCCTCATCATATAACCATGCCATCTCAAACCTAAAACCCCTTCTTCTAACCCCATCCCTCCCTACCTCCTCCTGAACTGTGAAAAAAATGGCTGAATGATCTGACTTCCTGGTTCTCAAATTCATAACCTTTACATGGGGAATTATATTGCGCCACTCGTTCGTTATTAGGACCTTATCAAGTCTCTCCTCAATCCAGTTTGCAGTCCCTTTCCCCTTCTCCCAGGTATATGGATATCCAATCATTGGCAACTGGGCCAATCCACAATCCTCAATCGTCTCCCCAAAACCTCGAAGAAGGCTATTCGGATGTGGATTTCCCCCTCTCTTCTCATACTGGTATAGCAAATCATTAAAATCCCCCACCACCACCCACGGGAGATTCGATTTTGCCGCCAACATTCTCAACAAATCCCATGATTCAGCACGCCTATTACGGTCCGAATAACCATAGTAACACGTCATTCTCCAGGCCGGATGACCTGTCATAGTTACCTCAATATCAACGTAGTTTCTTGAGTAACTAAGGAGTCTCGCCGTATTATTCTTCTTCCACAATAACGCTAATCCACCACTCAAACCATCATTGTCAACATAAAATAAGCCTTCGAAACCAATCGTAACACGAAGATGCTCAGCATGATCTCGCGCTACCTTAGTTTCTATTAGAAATACAAAGTCGGGTTGCTTTTTGGACACCATGTCCACCACCTCTCGAACTGTCCGTGGATTACCCAAGCCACGGCAGTTCCAACTCAGCGTACTCATTGGGTTGGGCGAGTCTGTGATCCAGAACCCGCCGTAAACAAGTTTTTTGAGCCATCCACCATCGCTGCCATACGCACTTGCCCGCTGCGACTAGCGTCGCCAAACAGTGATGATCACCCGAAAAAAACGTAGGAAACCGTCGGAAACCTAGCAAACCCTAGGGGAGAAGAAAACTCTAGCAAACCCTAGAGAGAAAAATTCTTGTGATTAGCGGATCAATTAGTTTGACTAAATTGCATAGGTTGTCCCATTGTGTCACGAGCTAGCAATGAGACTCATGCCATGTTTCATCTCTCCCACGTCGGTTGCAGACTTGGTCAAACACAACAGTGGTTGGCATTCATCACTCTACTTTCTACATTTGGAATGCTAGCAAGCAAGCAATCAAGCGCAATCCCCATTTCTTCATCTTCAAGATTTGTGCACCCAACACAAAACCTTCAAGTTTTCTTCATCATCATCATACATCGTCTCATCTCTCGCTTTTTCGGTGATGTCCATGATGTTTTCCTCTGCCGTGTCGTGTCTATAAATCCATGGCACCCCGTTGTTGAATTCCGCAGCTTTGAATTCAAAAACCACTTTTGACTCTTGTGGTTAGGTTTTGAATTTTCAATGGTCGTTTAGCGAATTTGCAGGACCGTGAAATTTCAGTTGGAATGGCTGTTGAGCTCTGTTCTGAAGATTCCAGCTCGATAATCATGAGTCCGAGAATATCGTTTTCCGGGGATGTGTCGCCGCCGGCCGAGGTTGTTCCTGTTCCAGTGGAGCAAAGAAACATGCGAGTGAGTTCTTCGTCGTCGTCGAGCATTGATTTCGATTTTTGTGTTTTAGACTATGAATCCTCGTCGGCGGATGAGCTTTTCTTGGACGGAAAAATTCTGCCCATTCAGATCAAGAGAAGAATGGGTCCGCAAAGAAAGGTAAGGCTGCCACCGCCACCACATCCTCCGCCGCCGCCGCCGCCGCCGCAAGACGACGGAGCTGATGATTGTAGGAAGAAGTCATTAAAGGCGGAAACTTTAACGTCATCGGATGAGCAAAAGCAGAGTTCGAAGCCATGGAGGTTCCGGCGGAGTTCCAGTTTGAGTTGTGGGAGTGGAGCTCTGTGCCCTTTGCCTCTCTTATCACGGAGCAACTCCACCGGATCTTCTTCTCCGATTACAAAGGACAGTTTCAATCCAAAACCACATTACAAGAAATTTTCTTCTTCATCAATCAAACAGTCGCAGTCTGTGCTGTCTAGTAGTCATTATCAAAAGCCTCCGGTGAAGAAATTCATGAGTAACGGTGGGATCAGGATAAACCCAGTCTTGAATATTCCGCCGGCGAGCCTCTTCGGTTTAAGCTCCATCTTTTCCGGTGGCAAGGATAAGAACAAGAAGAAGTTATCATTGTTTAATTAATTTTTTTTTTTTTCTTGCCAAGGGTTTGCCCAATTTTTGTTTCTTGAAGTGAGTTCTATCCCAGATTGCTGTATATATGAATTTGCATGGCATTTAGCATTGGGTTCAACCTTTTAGAAATAATGAATTTGCATTGCACAAATTTTGCTTACAATATCAACAATCATCCTGAAAATTACAATAAAACACGAATAGCACAACCCTTCGGGTTAACTTGTTAATTACGAGGTTTCAAATTTGAGGCAATAAGTTATAGTCAATTTAGATTGATTTACCTTTTTATGGTCCTTGGCTAAGATTACAAGGCAAAATTTCCCGGTACACCCTAGGGGTGTGCAAACTTTGGTGAAAGTTCGATTAACCGACCGAACCGAAGAATTTCGGTTAACTATTCTTTAATTGAAAATTTTCAATTCAGTTAATGATTAAATGATTTGTAAAATTTCGGTTAACGATTAATTCGGTTCGAAACTTTCGATTAACCAAATGAACCGAACAGTTAACAGAAATTTTAAATATATATATATATATATATATATATATATATATATATATATATATAAATAGTTAAATATATATGAATGTTTGGACTTTATAACTTGTGCTTTTAAGTTTGTAGTGTTGTTATGGTATTGTGTTTGTATATTTTCTTATTAATTTATTATTATACGTATTGTTATATGTATTATTTTAAAAATTTAAAACTTTAGCTTAAAAAACTTCGGTTAACCAAAACTGATTAACTGAAAAAACTTCGATTCGATTAATTCGGTAATACAAAGTTCGGTTTAGTTAACAATTAAACCTTCAAAAACCGATTGCACACCCCTAGTACACACCATCGGGTAATAGTTAAAGTTTTCCTGTTACCCAAAATAATAATAGACAAATTTAAAAATTTAAAGAGAGAAAGAGAGAGACTTTACATCCATTCAATAATGTGACATTCAATGACAAAAAGAAAACAGAATCCATTAAATAGTGCAATCAACATCAATGGTGAATAAACTACATAGAAATGGAAGGGGACAGGGGTTCATCTTTCAATGCTGATGTCTTCATCTTCTTGTCCACCAAACAAGATATATTATAGCCCTTGGCTTTACAGTAATGTATCCCCCCATCATTTTGGCAACCAAGTGCTCAGCAGTTACCCAAATGCTATAACCCTTCTTCAGGTAGGCCAGACTGTGCAAATGATGGGTGGTTCAGACACAGGTTGTGACCACATATAATGAGTAGCAGTGACTGAGGTTCATGATTAATTCCTTAAAATAAGCGTCGATAACATGCTGTGCTGATTTCTCTACATGTTGGATTTTCTTTCCCACCTCTCTTTCACATCAAGGCTGCAGTTTTAGATACTCAAAAGATTAACAACGGAAAGATAAACCTAAGATCGAGAAATGCAGTAACTGTAAAAGCTCAATAATGGGAAAAGGATCTGAAAGCAAGCAGCATATATAAGCCAACCCCAACCCTGCACCCCTGCCCCGGGCCTCTATTTTGTTTCTCTTTTCCTACAGAAGGTATTTTCTTGATAGTACTGTCTAGTAGTTGATATCAAATACGCATTTCACTTTCTGGAGATTAGGTAATAACAAAATGAGCCAAGTCAATCTCGCAGGACTTCTATTTAGTGACCCCAGCAGTGCAATTTTGATGCAATGAAATCCAGACTTTATGCAATTGGAAAAGAATAGTTAGAGGAAATGATACCCCCAGTGCAATTTTTGGCGCTTGCTTGACTCGTTGTGTGACACTGTATTGTCTTGTTGTGAGGATGAAATATCAGCCAAACTGCTTTTTGGAACCGCTAAATCTTCTGTTGGACCATCAACTTCTTCATTCATATGTTCTAAACATTCTTTAGCATTGCTGTCTTTACCATGAGATTTGCCATGCCCATTAACATTTCCTGCCAAGATCATTCAGCATCTATAAGACAGAAACAGGCATACGTCTCCACTTTTACATAATCATAAATACAACCACAGTACAAACCTTTCCTCGAGTAATTTTTAGTTTTTGACCTTGATTTTATCTGTAAACGCCTTCGATGCAATTCCTAACAAATACAAGTACCACAGAACATAATGTCACTATAAACAACAAAGGAAGCAGTAAACTATGAAACAGTGCAGGCAGGCAAAGCAGTGTTACTGTAGCATATACACCCTTTGCACACAAATGGCAATGCAATCAGTTTCCTCTTAAATAATTCCTCTTGAAATTTTTTAATTCTTTCTACAATATACAATTTTAATGAAAAATTAAGATTAAATTATTGCTATATTTTTATTTTTATTGTTACTATGCTATCTTTGATTGATGCACCAGAAACAAAAAGACCTGCAATGTCATTGAACAAGTAATTCCAGAAAAAAGCTCAGTAAAACACCTCACAGTAAAATAAAGTGGCAAATATTCGATCAAATTCGCAATCAAAAACACATGTTTTTAAGTTATGCATCTGACTTTAGATCAATTCTTACAATTTACTAGTCTATAACACGTATATTTAGGTTAGATAGCAGAGGCACTTGGAGGATGAGAAGAAAGACATACTTGAAACTTAGAGAGCTGGTCGGAGGTGATGCCGGAAGTAGGCCTGAAATTGGGGCGTAGAGACGGTGCGGATGCTATCGCTGCCTCTCTTCTTTCGTCGTCTTCCTCCATTGCTCCCTCCCTCCGGTCGGAGAAATATTTATGCCCTAAATCCCAGTACTTCCCATTATTATCGTTCAGACCTTTGACGCGAATACGTGATCAATTGTATATTCCCCATTCACTTCAATTTTTTTTTTTTTTTTTTTTAAGGAATAAGGTCTAAATTGACAATTGAATGTAACCTCGAAGTGTAATTAGACTGCTGAATGAAAAAGTACAATTAAATCATTAAATACTCAAATGTATACAATTTCACCTGATATACGGAGATGATTAGTTGATATTTTAAAATAATTTTTAATAATTAATAATTAATTTCAAATATAAAAAACGCTGGGTGGAATAGATAATTTTTAATAATTCATTTTTAAAATAAAAAAAAAATACTGGGGTGAAATGGATTATTTTTAATAATTAACTTTAAAAATAAAAAATAAAAAATTTAAAATTAAAAAAAAAATTCTGGGGTGAAATGGATAATTTTTAATAATGAATTTTAAAAATAAAAAATAAAGAACAAAAATAAAAAACGCTGGGGTGAAATAGATAATTGTTAATAATTAACTTTATTATATTTTATTTTTATTATATTCTATTTTTTATATTTTATTTTTAAAATTTATTATTAAAAATTATTTAAAAGTGCCAATTTACCATCCTTGTAAGCTATTAGGTAAAATTGCATACATTCGAAATATGGTCAATTTAAACTTTACATTGCCACCTTCAGTCGTGACATCAAGTCAATCGGAGAACCAATACACTAAAACTTGATTAATCCTACACCCTCAAAACTCTTATCCAAGATCCACTAAAAGAGGTAAATTGTGAATCACTCCGATTGTCCCTAAGTTCCCACCCGTACATGTATACTTTGCACACAATGGGTCTTAAACTCTTAATATATTTTGATCAGTCAAGGTCTCTCAATGACTTTCCATATTCTTAGTTGTATTCTAACCTCCACACTACCACTAGAGCAAGACTTTAAGGTAAACTTGGAGAATTGTGTATCATGTTAAAGGTCTTGTTTGGCAATAAGCGGTTAGTGGTTAACGGTTAGCAAATAGTAGATTGTAAAAAGATATTTGGTAAAATTAACTATTTAGATCAACTGTTAATATATAAAATGACCTAAAGGTTATACATATATTTATTAATAATTAATAATTAATAATAATAATAATAATAATAATAATGTTTAAAAAAACTAAAAATAAAAAAAAAAAAATAAAGGGGAGCCGCAGCCCTTTTGTAATTTTAATTTGTTTCTCCATTTATCCCACGTCGGTAGGAGAAGTGGAGAATTGAGGCTCCATTTTTTCTAACAACTATGGCTATCCACTGGTGGGCAGGCTCATTAATCAAATCAAGGAGCATTTTAAGCTCCCTCAAGTTTTTTTTTTTTTTTTTTTTTTTTTTTTTTTTTTTTTTTAATATGTTAAGGGCGTTTAAGAGAAAGAAAGTATTTCCCCAAAACGCCATTTATGCAGCGTTTGTAAACTTGGCGGTTTGAAGCAAATTGCTGCTCCAAACTGTCATTTAACCAAACAACATTTTCAACATTTTAACTGGGTCAAAATGTCAAAATGACGAATCTGCCATTTACTAAACATGCTCAAAGAGTTTTTTGTCAAACCTTTTTTTTTTTTTTTTTTTTTTTTATGTAAAGTCAAACTCTATTAGCATGGCCTAAGCAAATTCATATTAATTTCATAATGATGAAGATTCCAAATATTATATGCCAAAAAACTCATTATGTGTATACTTGTTGTTTTGTAAAATGATCGATCAATTAATGAAGATGAACAATTTTTTTTTATAAAAAAGTTTATCAATATTGTCATGTCAAGAGTCCCTACGAGGAGTGAATTAATATGGGGAAAAAAATACAACAAGAGCACCTACTTCACTACTGCTCTATGGTGGATATAAGAGGGGTATAATATTTTTCAAAGAAGTATATATATCAAGTTGATTAATTTAATCTATATTTTTAAAATATGAAATAAATAAAAATGGAGCATCATTATTGATTGGACATCTTAAGTCGTAATCACAGCCCATAAACAGACCATGCAAAATTTTTGGACATGTTGGCTGTGTTAAAAATGTTATTGGTTTAAGTAGGGCAAAGCCCATGTTGCATTTCTTCATTTATGTATTATTTTTTGTTAAGCAATTAAAAAAAATTGGCAATGACATTTTTCCAAATAAACCTTTAAAGTGTAACTAGTAATAATATAGAGTGCATCTATAAACACTCTTGATGGAATTAAACAAAGCATATAATGCATATGTTGAAAAATACGATAACATTTTTGTAAATAATTCAAACTAATGATATTAGTCACACTATAAAGTGCAATTGTCAATACTACAAATTAAAGTGCAACTAAACAAAGCTACAAAGTGCATCTGTTCACTACACTTGTACATATGTGAGTTGCAGTCTACAATGTTGTTAATTACACTTTAAAATTTGAATTATGTATGAAAAGGTCATCACATTTTATCTCTCTCATTGTTTTAACATTCGTTCAATCTTTTCAAATTAGCAACTCTAAATGGTTCTTCACTTTCTTGTGGTAGTATATATATATATATATATATATATATATATATATATATATATATATATATATATATATATATATATATATAAGAATGAACATTAAACAATTGAAGGTGGAGTCAAAACACAAATATTTAAAAGAGTGAAACAAACATAACTAATGTGTTGATGAGTAGTGTAGTGTAACACAGAAGTAAGGCAATTTAATCTTTTAATAAAGTGGTATAAATTAATAAAGAATCGAAAATGAAGCTCAAAATCCAAGCAGGCATCTATCGTCAAAAAGTAAGTAAATGAGACAGATAGATGTTTAGATGAGATGAGAATAGTGGTCAACTTTTCATGTCTTTTTCCAACTGGCCTTCTCAGCACAACCTTTCAAACTCCATCTCTTCTTTGCCCCCACCATTTCCAAAAAGCAATGCTTTTATTTCAATTTTAATTAGTGCCCACCGCCATGTGTGTGTCTATATATATGTGTGTTGGATTATATGAGAACAAGCCTTTAGAAGAGAAATAAGAATTAATTAACTTACATATAGAAAAATTGAACGGATACAAACTTGAACACTAAATACACAATTTTTAGATTTCTTTCAGGTTTGCACATTGAGTATTAACATTTTTGCACATATAATATTAACATTTTGCATATTTAGTAGTAAAAAAATGCGCTTGCATGCAAAAATTCAAAAGTACATTGCACGTTTCGATTTTAAAGTTTATGAGTGAGTTTTTTGTTTTATTTGATTTAGTGGTTCACTTTTTACTGTTTAAGATCTAACATTTATGGTTTAGATTTAAAATTTACGAAGTTTGCATATGTAGTTGTTAAAGATTACATATTTAATTAGGTCTGTGTATTATTAGTTATTAGCATGGAAATCTCACCATATTTTTACAATTTCCTATTTAATTTTCAGCACTTGATAATCTTAAATGATAAACGGATGTCTACATGTTTTCACAGAGGTACTAGGTAGTTCTCATGGAAGTTACATGTGTGTACCCGTCAGGCTATCTGTTTAACATATGAATGGAATTTTGAATTTGTCTGCACTCTGCATAATTCATAAATAAATAAATAAATAAAAAGAAAAAAATAGAGGAAATAATAGATTAGGTTTGAATGATGTGAATAATTAAGAACATGAAATTTAGTGCTAACAGCAAAGAGTAGAAACGAAGGCAAAGTGATAAGTGGTGGTGTGATCCCCACCGCCGCTTAATGCTTTCAGTAAACCAGTGTCAAAATTCACGTCATGATTGGGGGGAGGGGGGGGGGGGGGTTATAATATTCTTTATACAGTTAATATGTATAATATTACAATTAATTATTTATCAAAAAATTATTTAACTACAAATTATTCACAATTTTTGAACTTTATATTCAAAACTTAGCAAATAGAACTAAATGTCAGTGCTCACAAGGGATCTGTCCAGTTTAAACATAATCCCACACTATCATCGTCGATGTTCGAATCTTAGTATTTTCTCCTAAATACTGAACCATTGAACTAAGCCCATGCGGATACTATAAATTATTGGTTATATTATTTAACCTAACAAGAAAAATGGGATACTATTAATTTGCTAAAGTGGTAATATTTTGGATCTGAAGATCTATTATTGTCGCGATAAGGTAGAAAAATATCAAAGTGATCTTTCTTCTAAAGTAAAAATTTTTCTTTCTTTTCTTTTTCCTATTTTTTTCCCCTTGAATTTGAAAATTTTAAATTTGCAATAATGTGTAGCATGCCGCCTGTCTTACATTATCCAAAGATTATGAGTATACTACAAGTCTTTCTAAATATAGTATATATTAACACAATGCTAAGTCATTAATATTTAAAATAATAATTATTTACTATAATAGGCATGATTCTTTTTTTACCTTATAACATTTTGAAATAATGGTTAAATTAGTTTTTTTTTTAAAAGAAAATCAAATTAAATTAGTTACTTAACTGCACACAAAAATATAATTAGATCACTAAAATTTAATAAAATGTAATCAACGCACTGAACAAGTCAAAATAGTAAAATTGAGTCATAAGTGACATGCTCTCTAGGTTAACCGTTGACGTAACAATTAACTTTTAATAAATTATTTTAGTGATTTTAAATACCAAAAATTAAAGGGGAAAAAAAAAAAAAACTCCAATCTCACCTCTTTCTTTAATCTCCGCTAGAGATGGAAGTATGTACTTTATCATAGGCTCATAGCCCACAGACAAAGTGCACTTCATCGAGGAACATATTACTCAGTAATTAGCGGTAAACTATTTAGATTTTATTATTTAAAATTAATAAAATAAATTTTAAAAATATTTTATTAAAAATTTATTGATACGTCAACGGTGAATATGTTATTTCAGTAATTATTTTAACTAATTCAACAAATCAATTGTAATTATTTTCTAATTAGACCTGTTACTTCATAATTATTTTGGCTACTTCATAATTATTTTGGCTACTTTAACGAGTCAATTGTAATTATTTTAGATTTAATGATCAAATTACATTTTTGTATACAATTCTAATTTGGTCCTTATTCTTAAAATTTTAATAATAATAATTATTATTATTATTATTATTATTTCAATATGACCCAAATTATGAAATTCCAATTTTCCCATTAAATACTTGAACATATGATAGAACCAACTTGTCCGCAAATTACTCCTAAAAAATTTCAAGAAATTGAAAGAAAATGTATGAGAATGAAATAAATAATGGCATATAAATAAATAATATATTAATATTCCAAAAGTAATTTTGAAAGGTGGAATATATGTTTCCGGCGAGTGGAAAAAAGCAAAAGAAGGAATATACGCAGTAATTAAATAATTTTTTTCAAAAAAAAATCTAAAAATGTATTTTCTAAATATCCGTACAACTGTAGATTACTCGGGTATGGCCATGAGCACTGGCCGCCAAGCTCGCCTGAGCAATCGTTGCCGAAACGTCGCCGACAGCGGCCGAAGCGAGCGGCTTCCGATTCGCCGCAACGACGACGCGCCGCCGCCGCCGCAAGCCGCGGCGGCGGCCGACAGCAGCCCCTCTCGGATGTTTCCGGACGACTTTTCATCGGGGGACGGCGGAGAAGACACGAACAAATCCTTCAGCTTATGGCTAACCACCAGCTCCTTCCCCTCCCCTTTCGAATCGCTATCGCCGTCAAGCTGATCCGGCGAGCCATTATCCCGGCGCGGGAGGCGTCGCCCGCTGCCGCCGCGGCTGAGCAGCATGCGGAGCGTCTTCCGGCGACGGAGGTGGATTACCGGGCTGGTCGTCGGGCTCCGCGTTGGGCTTCCGGCCACTGCGCATTGGGTCGCTAACAGCTTGAATTTCTGCAGAGTCGCCATTTTCTTCGATCCGAGTTATGCGCCCTTGTTTACAATCGTTGAAATTGCGAACTCGCAGAGTATGAAGAAAATGATGAATTTGATTTTCTCAGAAGCGAGATCTGGGCTTGAGTTGCGCCATGGAATTTCTCAGAGTAATTATGCAGTGGAAGAAGTGGAAATGTTATGAAGTTAAAAAAAAAAATGGAGAGAAAAGAGGGAAAAAGTGGAAGTTTAGAAAACGGGCCGTTCGGTTCTTATTGGGCTTTCATCCACCCCCCCTCACGCCTGACGCACCATTTCTACACGTGGCAACTGTACCCACTTTGAATTCAGTGCATATACTTTTCTTTTTTATAACTCAAATTTCTCTGCTTCACCGTATTAATTTTGAAATGTTTGGCAAGTAATTATTAGCTAATTAAGTTAATGAATTTGACTAGTTGATATTATTAACTAATTGTAAAAAGATATTTAATAAATTAATTGTTAGCTAATAGCTGATTACATATAAAATAATTCTTAAGTTACATAAAAAATTACATTAAAAATATGTATAATAAATTCAATTGATAATATATTAATAAAAATTAAATTCAAAATCTAATGAAACAATAATGATACAAAGTTTTTACTTTCAAAATTTGAAAAAAAAAAAAAAGAAAAAGAAAAAAAAGAGGTGAATAATGGTTGTCTGCAAGTGGGAATAGTATTATAGAATGATTTATGAAAATGCAGGTGTATGACTTTCATGATTTAAGCCTAACGTAAATGTCCGCGTATGTAAACCTATATTATTACACCTGTCACTTCCCACACTTTGATGATAACTTTCGCCTCACAATTTCCAATTTTAGAAATTTTTTTACTATACCTACCATAATTATTATTAATATTTTTCGGTCCGCTTGCAAGGCTTTTTAGTACAATTAATTTTTCATGTGTTTTGTGTAGTTTATGAATTATTACACAAAAATGAAAATTATTCAATACACAACGCATTGCATACCATTAAGATTTTTTTTTTTTTTTTTTTTTTGACAAAGAACTAAATATATTAATTCAAATCCGACGATACAGTATTACAAATGATGGGGAGTAATTTGTAAACCACTCCGAACAACCAAATAAAGAGATAGATTATCTAGCTAATATATGGGTCGCCTGATTCGCAGATCACTTAGTGAAAACTAAACTATTTTGAGTAAACAAACTCATTAAGTTTTTAATATCAACCAAGATCAAATAGGTAGGACTATTAAAATTTAAAACAGTTTTTTAATTATGTTTTTTTTTTGGAGAAATCAGCATGATGGGAATATTAAATTACTCAGATAGAGTTTTCTATGGTGGGGCAATTCCTTGCTCTGATTCATGCCTCTCTCTATTTTTCTGACCAAAAAAAAAATGTTTAATCATATTTACATAGAGAATTTATATTGTAAGAGCTCCAAATTTCAATAGCCTATCTATTATCTACATATATAAAATGAGTCAAAAACAGTGCACACCCTCAGATAGTGACAACGTATTTTCCTCGCATCCAAAAAATATGAACCAAAAATAACATAACATATATGGATAAAGACTTATTCATTGCCATTACCTTTGGGAGAACTGTCCCGAATGAGTCGAGCAAAACTCGACTGTATTAGTCTCGTCCTGCAATGGAAAATAAAGCATAGTAGGGAAAAGATCCCTCACCAACTACAGCTTGTTGTAGAGCTCCCAATCCCTTTATCAGTAACACTAGAATCAGAAGAAGGGGGAGTGGCATTACTCTTCAAAGCAACACCACCACCCTGCACCACAATATCCAATACCTCCACCTTGTCTGGATTAAGCTCTTCATCCTGTAGCCCCTTCAAAGCATCAACCACTTCTTGCATTGAAGGCCTCATGTCTCTCTCACCTTGCAGGCATCTAAAGGCCAACTGGGCAACTTGCGTGGTCATCCTCCTTACGGAACTGTTAGTTGTGAATCCGAGGTTTTGATCAACGAGCTCGTGCAATGTGTCGTTTTGGACCTTGTTGAGAGCCATGTTAGCCAAATTGATGTCATGGCGATGCCTACTAGTGTCCACAGCTTGTAACGATGAGATAAGCTCTACCAGGACCACCCCAAAGCTGTACACATCGCTCTTTTCTGTTAATTGGTAAACTTGATAGTACTCCGGGTCGACATAACCAGGGGTGCCCTGTGGGGCGGTTGACACATGTGTAACATCATTTGGGAACAACCTGGACAGCCCAAAATCCGCGACTTTCACATGAAAATCGTTGTCTAGGAGAATGTTATTGGTTTTAACATCGCGGTGTATGATATCAGATCTATGGAGATATGCCAATGCTTCAGCTGTCTCGATGGCAATGTTCAACCGGATAGACCATGATAACATCCCAGACTTTGCCCGTTTCCCGTGGAGATGATCAGCCACTGTTCCATTAGGAATGTATTCATAAACAAGCAAAAGGTCCCGGCTTTGTTTCGATGTGCATCCATACAGTGTTACAAGGTTCTTATGGCGCAACTTGGTCAGGATCTCCACTTCATTCATGAACTGCTCCACACGTTTGAAATTGTTCTCGTACAAACGCTTCACTGCAACCTCCCGACCATCTTGGAGCTCTCCTAGTTAGTATATAAAGCAGAGGGTTATTCAGAGGTAAGATGAGTGCAACAAAAGACAAGGAAGGTTTAGTGCTTATACCATAGTATACAGTTCCAAAGCCACCATCTCCAAGTTCTCTAGATTGGTCAAAGTTATCAGTGGCGTCTTGCAGTTCAGCATAACTGAAGAGCTGAGCCCCAAAATAAGAGCTTTCAGTTCCAAAAACTGTCTGAGACCTTGAAGAATGATATGAAGGGATGTTGGTGGTGGAAGAGGTTGAAGGATCAGAGGGGCCATTGCTTGAAGGAACTGGAAGGTCAGTAGGGGGTGGTTGGTGTGCCTGCTGTTTTCTTCTCTGTCTATAAAAGAACATTATCCATCCAATCCCGATGCCTGCAAGTACAGCACCCGCTATGCCAAGGCCTGAAAGTCGAGCAAGAAAGAATTAGGTTTAGCCACTAAGTCATAGATGTATCATGCCAATGACATTGTGGTCTAGTGGGAGCGGTATTGACTCTTTGTGCTTTAGTAGATTGAGAAAGTAGCTATGAACAGATACTACATTGTAACAGAGTCAGTAGTACTTCAAAAAAAAGAAGAAAAAGTCATAGATGTATCAGTTTGATTTGTCAATGCCAAGAAGAAGGCAATACCTATACCCAGTGCTGTTTGTCTGCTATTATTGTTATCTGCAAGACAACAACCAAAATGATATGTCAGTGATTATATATGGCAGGAAATCCAAATATCAAAGCTAAGAAACATCCAAAGTGCAACCATGCCAAAAAAAAAAAGAGAGACGAGTAAGAAAATTTAACAAAATTATAAAGACTTACTGTTTTTGTCGTTACAGAAGATTGAATGAGATCCATCAGCACAATAGCATGCAAAGGGTGTTGATGGTTGATTTGAACTGGAGCCACATCGCCCTCCAGATTGGGTGCACCTGTCACAGAAGGCATTATCAGCTGTCCATTGCAGTGAAAACCCACTAGCAAGAGTTGCTCTAAGAACTTGGCGAGGATCACCAGTATGGCTGGCCAAGACCCGAGCACCTGTTTGATTGACTGTGGCCATGATATGGCTGTCACATGTTATGCCTGGAGGGATTTCCACATCTCCAACCAGATAAAAACCAAAAGTTTTGGTACTGCTGCTGCAATTGAATCGATTGGAATTGGGAAGTGGAATAACTTTTGGTACAAAGGAGCAATCATAAAAGATAGTGATGTTTATGTCGTCGGACACATAATTGAAGAGGCTAAAATCCAAATTGCTGTTTTGGGGATTTGTCAGACAGATATCTCTCTCTAAATCCTGCCTAGCAACTGTAATTCTCCTCTCGGAGCTATCGATGCAGACAACTTTGTATTTTGTTGATTGAATACTGATAACCGGGGCGTCTTCACTATTGCAATCCAGTTCAAAACCTGGATAACCACAATAGTCAGGCCGCTCACCTCCCCAGAAGGGATAGCTTATGTTTTCAATATTGGCACAGCGGAATGCCTTGCCACAGGCCACATATCTTTGATCATCTTCACAGAAGCACGCAGGTATGTGGAGTAAGATGAAGCCTACAACAATCAAAAGAAAGGAAGCTGTGGGAGTGTTTCGAGCCATCTTCTATCTGGAACGAGAGATAGACAGAGATGGCAGATAACTTCAAGAGTTTTATCAAATAGGAGATGTGAGGTTCAAAGAGACAGTAGGTGCAGTTAGGCCCTCTTTTGTACATTTGTAAATACATAAGAAAAAATTCTAGCAACCCTTGACTAAGGAGAGCCTCTTCATATACATATTCAAACACAAGAAATAAGGGATTGTTGGCTGATGAACAAGAAAATGGAACTTGTGGTCCTTTACGGGAAAGGATCACATTCACAAGGCAAGACTGGCCTGTTTACAAGGCGGGGTTTATACCGTGCACACCCTTGAGTAGTGACAGTTGATTTCTCTCTTCACCCGGAAAAAAGGGACTTATGGATAATGGAATTTTAGGTCAGTCAAAGGATGTGGAATATGTATTTGGTTTGTCCACCAACCATTGACCACTGTCACTTCTACCCAATAAACTTGGCACAAGAGGCACCGGCTATTGACTGCTATCAAGTATCAACTCATTACTTCAAATTAATCTAGAAAGCTCAATATGGTCCAAATCAATAAAATATAGAGCAAAAATATCATAATATGGCATTATGTATGACTGCAAGACCAACAAATTTCCTGGCATTAGAGTCAATAGAGTAAAGAACCAAAATGGCATTGAAACCAACAAATTTCCTGGAATTGAGAGTCAAAAACAGGGAAAACCGAAACCCAATATTCACAATATTGTAAGAAAATAAATAGCTTCTTTATTTTTAATATGCATGTTGAATATTCATTGTTGTGATACCTCAAGAAATTCTACTCCAGCCTCTGAATAAGATTCTTCAGATGGATGACTTTGCATATGTTCCTGGCGAGAGCCAAGCCTCTGACTCTGATTATTATCATTTTTTTTTTCTTCATTTCCTGATTAAGCTTGAGAGGTTAGGGTATATTTGTTGAACTAGCAAACAGCTTTCTTCACAAATTGCTGCAAATTTATAAACAATGAATC